AAATATGTGTGGTAGGAAGCAAGTTACTGAAGGGTACTGGATCTGACAGCATTTGTGGACCCAGAATCCTGATATGCCTTCTGCAGGAGTGGTCCTTTTCTGAGGACCTTCTGGGAGCATTCATTGGAAGCTGGTTTTGGAGCTCGTTTTTCTCCATCGTGCCATCTGGTGAAAGGATGTTGTATGGCCCATAGTTGAGTGACTTGTGATATGTGGCTTGCATAGATATAGCCTGTCCTAAAGAGCTCTAGCAGCAGAGTTAAAGGTTGCTCAAATAGTGCAGTAGAAACTGCCAGGGTTCTGCATTGGGKGTGTCTTCTTTTTAGTTTCTTTCTACTATAGAATCTGGTAATGGTGGAAGACATGCCATGTGATTTATGTCGAGTGTATATCGGGTGCCAAGTGTTAGGAGTCAGTACCTATAACATTGTCACATTTTGTGTTTGTCAGCCAAGCTTTCTATCTTTTGATGGGAATGCCCATTTACTAAAGATCCAAGATATTATCCTGAGTCCCATGAAGTCGAAGCCAGAATTTCAGCCATGGGATGACTGTCTACTCTCTTCATCATGAGGCATCACACTGGTCTGCCAGATAATGTTAGGGTAGATATAGTGTGAATAGCTTAATCTCTGTATAAGACAGATTTACCTAGATTCACAGGTTTACACAGATTTACACAGACTTCAGTTGGTTGCTTACCCTGTTGTCTGTGGTTTTATAATGTTAAAATTCTTAATATAGGTTCAAGCACAATATTTTCTCTTGATTCATTATTTTGTATTTAGTACAGTTAGGAAAGCAAAATACTATAATGCATTGTTTGTGAAGCAGGAAAAAAAGTTCAAATCTTACAATCTCTAGAATTAACTAAGATGTYAGGGCTTTGTAAATATGAAGATATGCGGCTTCTTATGAATTGGTATCTTGCAATGTATAGCTCCTAATTTAGAATGTGAATGAATCTATAAACAGATTAAACTAGACAGGGACTTCCGTGTGTTTTGAGATTACATACAAAAATCAGTTTTTCTGGAAGTAAAAAAGTGGTTGGCTTTCTGAACAAAGAAGGCGTCCTATGATATTATCTTGAAATCTGTTGTTGTCATTGAATCTGTTTGTTCACTGGTTTTATTTCATTTCTTCATTTATGCCAGATACATAAACATAGTTTTGTTAAACATAGTAACGGAGGAATCTTTGTTGCTATACAGAATAGAATGACAAAGGAAAATCAGATAGATAGTGTGTATCTATGAATATATATATGAATATATATATGAATATAAATATGAAGATATATATTATATATAAATATATAAATAGGTAATAGCTTACATATAAATAGCTTAATCTAGGAGAAATTATACCATTTACTGCACCTACGTGATCCTCTTGTAGTGATTAGCTCAAAGGTCTACTGAAGATCAGAAGGCTGGTGCTTTAGGGTGTGTGCTCAGTCATGTTAGAATAAATGTAAAGGGAAATTCAGGAATGACTGAGGAGCATTAAGGTGTATTGTTATCAAGAGACTAGTAAGTCCTGGCACCCTCAACACAGCTACACTATATTCCTTTGAATTTCTGTTTGTGTTTTGAATTTTTTAAAGAAAACGGAACAGGTTTTTATGAAGCCTGTTTCATGAGGGCTTAGTGTATGACTTGTGACAGTTTCACATGTTGTTTTGGAAATACATGTAGTTCCCTTTAAAAGACTTTTTTTTATTTTAAGTAGATATCTCCAATTTCAGAATGAATAAATATTTTATGACAATTCATTTTATTTTTTTCCTCTCTTTTCCCGTAATGATTCATCTGTCATTCATATTTTAATATACAAGATTTATCTATGAAATCTCTTTATTTTCTTTTCTAAGGAAAGATTTTGGTTGATATGTACAGATTTCAATTTATTGGCACTTCTTCTCAGATTTGGTTCCAGTAGTGTTTCAGATTTCTTATTTGTGTCTTTTCACTCGCTTATGTGTAGCATTTAGGAATCTGTGGCTAGGGAGTGGATGTAGTCTAGGATTGTGGGTGTAATGAATGAAACATAGAAGCTGTCAACACATTTTTCTCTTTTATTCCAAGCACACATTTTTTTTTTTTTAATGTAAAAAATACACAGCTATTTTCCCATGAGTTCTTGTTACAAATCTGAAGTAAAACACTGTCTTTAAACACTTTCAAACTTTAGAAAAATTGAACTCTCAATTTGTTTTCTGTAGTCCAAGCAAGTTTTCTTGTTTCCTTCATATCTTCATGTTTCCAAATTCCAGAAATTTGTAATTAATCCATCTTGAAGCTTGTTTTCTGTGTGGCTTTCAGTATCTAATGCTGTGGTTGGGTGTCTGAGACAGCATCTCTCTGTGGATGAGATCTGCTAGACAGATGTTGACCTCTGTGGAAAGGCCATGTAACCCCATATTGCAACTCCTGCCTGTACAACGTCCTGCTGGGATGAAAGTTTTCCAGGAGAAGGCTGATTTTTGTTTTAGATTTAAATTGCAATTAGTACCCTTTCAGACAAACTTTTTGCTTTGTAAGTATGAAGATGGCTTGATTTAGAAGGCATTGCTTGTGTAATATTAGTGCATGAATGGCACTTGTGTTTCTCCCTTGTGAGGTAGTGTGTGAGTGTTCACCACTTACCAAAGTAAGCCAGTTACATACGCACATAACAGATGTTCATTAGTCTCAAGTTTGATAGAGTTCTGTGTGTCAGGGTCCCAGACTGAGGCTAAGGGTTATTACAGGTCAGAGACAGGCAGAGTTGTGTGGAGAAACTTGAAAGCACCTGCCTGACTCATTCCTTTCACTGTTATCAACTCATCATCTGCATGACTTCACTAACAATGTACTTTCAACTCACTTGAAAGAGAAAGGATCCTCTCTATCTTCTCTCCAGTATTTGTGCTAACTTGGCCTGAAATACCAGACCTTGACTATGGAGGGATAAACAGCTGAAGAGAGAAAAAAAAGAGACAAAGAGTTTCTTGGAAAACCCACCAGTGTATTTATCACATTCCTCTTTCTTTTCAAGCTTTTATTTTTTCAGGTTTTGTGAACCATCTCTGTGTTTCTAGACAGGCTATAGAGGATAAAAGCATATTCATGTATCGGGATTGTGAAAGGTTTAAAATTCTATTTTTCCAAGCACATAGTTATTTTTCTACATATTACATTAAATATTTCAGCTTGAACATGTGCAGTGTGTGAAAATAACCTCTGTGGCCCTGCTAAAAAACATTGGTGTAAAGCAAGAACCTTTCTGGTCACCTTCTTTATCTCTCCACTACTCTTCCTTATTAATTATTGGTATTATTTCCTCTCCGCTTCCTTCCTCGCCAACAGGAACAATTTATGCTACAGACACAAATCTTAGTACCCATCGTATTTATGCTGTGCACGCTTGTGTACTTCAGCTAGGCTGTTTGCATGCCAATAAAATGGTAACATTTTGCCCACAACTGAGCTGTCTCTGGAGATGCTGCAGGGTTCCCTTCTAACTCCCACAGTCTAGCAGAAGCAAAATGAAAATCACCTCTTACTTAAAAGAAGTGCATTTCATAAATCTCCATCTTTGTAATAGTGCTGGAATCATTATGTACCAGTTGGCTCTGACACGCTTGCACAAACACAAATTGAGTCCGACAGGACTGATGTCTCATGGACTTTGCTGTCATTTGAAATTCTAGTATGAAGATGGTGGCGATGAAGGAGGGGGAACTAGTGCCTTCAGCACTTTGCCTATGAAGATTTCTTAGATTTGTGTTTTTTGATGGCAGAGCTGATTCAAGAGATGGTTTTACAAAAGAGATTGATAGCAGCAATGGATTTCTAACAGCTGCTCATGTCTTTTCTTCTTTCTTGAGTCGAATCTTTGAGCATAGCAATGCACTTTAAAATGGGCTCTTTATGCCACCCACAAATCTGTGTGATCCATCTAGTGGAATGATAATTAGTATAATTTTTTCTCCTCCCTTTTTGTTTTTATCTTCACTGCCTAGAAACCACTCATGCATGGTAATGAAAAAGATAGTATCTCTTTTCCTTATTATGATAAAGCTAAATTTCAGACTTGCCAAAGTTTATAAGCTACTGTTCCTTAGAAAAACACAGCTAAATTTCAGTGTTATTCTATTGATGCTGGCAGTCTGTTCTAGGATGGTCTGTAGTATATTCTGTGAGAGGGAAAACCATTTTTCTATTCGTTAATTTCTATTATTAGTCAGGTGTGGTAAATTTAGACAAGAGTGAGACACACTACTTTTTTAAGTCAGGTATTTGAGCTGCAGTGCTCCCAGTACATTATGTTAAATTATGTTTCATAACAAATGAGATAGATTGAAATCAAATCTGAGCCCTTTATTCCAGGTTGGATTTCTTTTCTTCTGTTAGGTCTAATTCAAATATGTAGAGGTAATCACAACAGAAGTTTTAGCCCTTGGGAGTTGTTGAATCAAAACTACATGAGTTCTGAGGTATCAACATAGAAAGCAAATAAGCCAGTATTGCAAAACTGTCTTTAATACTACCTTTACTTTAGGAAGCATATACTTTAAGAAGTATATTTAGACATTAGCCCTACTAAATGTCAGGGCATCATCTCCCATTATGCTTCTTAAAAATGAACTTTTTATTCTAGGTTTTGAATCCACTTCAAAACCCTTCTTGCAACATGAGTATGCCTGCATTATATTACAGTCATGCTTCATTAGGAATGATCCTGTGATTCAAAAGGAGAAGGAGAAGATTGAGAATATGATGCATACTTGTTTATGGTAGAAAAAATACACTGGAGATTACATTTGAGCTATGAATACATCTACGAATGGGATGTTTTCTAATATGGGTGCGTGGCCTGAAATGAGTCAGGATTTCTTTATTTTTTGAAAACTATTGTGTCTTAATTTGTGATTTTTTATTAAAAAAAAAAAACCTCTTTTCTACTCCTGCTAACAATGTATCTCTCTTCCCTTCTCTTATATCTTCCACAGGCTCTGAAAATATTTCATCCGAAATTTCYGACCGTAGAGACTCGCAGTGGCTTCTAAGGCTGTGAGGACGAGGCTGCGAAAGCATGTTGGTGCCAAGCTGTCAGATGATGCACGTAGTCAGGCCAGTGGTGGTGCTCCTCTGCTTGCTCCTCTGTGCTGATGCTGAAAGTAAGACTATTATTCATTAATGCTGAAGTCTTGACCATGATGAACATTTTTGTTTCCAGCTGGCAGTTACTAAAAGTCTCTGAATGAGTTTCCTTTTGAGCAAGCCTTGAAACACTGTGAGGTCCTATCTGGATCACAGCCAGTATTTGAAAGGGATTATTTATGCAGCTTCCTTACCATTTTCCTCTGAATGCCTCTTTTATTAAGCAACTAATGGTTCCTACTCTTCTTTTTGTTTAAAAGTTGGTGAAAGCCATTGTCAAACTTCTGAAGTTGAAACAAACCTTGCTTACCTTGCTTATGAAGTATTGATTAAAACTTCTTTATAAACTTCTTTAGTTACCCAAATATTTCTATCTTAAGTTTGGTTCAAAAAAAAAAAAAAAAAAAAAAAAAGAGGCAAACAACTTTACTCCACTCCTCAAAGTAATATTTAGTCCAATTAAAATTCCAGGCCCTTTGTAAATGCCACAACAGCTGTTCAAATGTATTATTTCCGACAGCTGTCGTGGTGTGCAGTACTCAAACAAATCAAGCAGAACTGACAACATAGTGCCTGGCCTCAGTGTGTGACAATTCAGTGAGGAAAGACACCTATGTTCCCTTCTGGTGGGGGGAACTGTTGGGTTTTGGTCAATTAGCTTACCTATTAATGGGAAGATAATATCTTCTTTTTAATTAGAAAATCATTAGGTCTATCTTGTTTACATATGTTCTTTCTCCCAGCTGTCCTGTGGCTTTTTGAGAAGTAATGTGTAAATGAGAAAAGCCGTTTGCTTTCCACCTGTTGACCTCCAGGTTTGCTACAAGCTGTTCAGTTCACTGAATACTGAGATGTTTTCCTTTTGTGTGTTCCTGAGTCTGTAGAGATAAATCAAACATTTATTAAGTTCATTCCAACTCAGACTTTTGAACACTTCTGTGTTTTTCTACATATTGGTGACAAAACACAGAAACAGATTAGCTGAGTTAGAAAAGAACCTAAAAGAGTAATACTGATGTGAGTAAAAATGGAAATGTCAGTTCTTGGTAAAGAACTACTTCAAGAGTTGCATGCATTTTACACTCCAGAAGTACTAAGATACACCAGTAAATCAGATATAAAATCTTTCTACTTCTAACTATAGTAAAATTTTCTTGTTTTAACTGCAGCACTGCAGTAGTGTTGCACTGCAAAAGTGTAGCAGTTGTAGCACTGCAAAAGTGAAGGGAGGGGGGAAAAAAAATCACACACAAAAAGAAGAGCACTCCAAACATACATGTTGGTGGAGTACTGACAGTTGAGAATGCTTGGCTTCTTTCCAGGTAGATATGACCAGCTGGGATGCTTGTGTCTAAGGTGAAGCCAAGGACATTTTAACACTTTAGCCAGCAAATAACTAACTGGGAAAGGGGCCCAAATGCTGGATGTTTCTACAGTTTTAAAATATCAGATATTTTTAAAGTAATTTCAGTGCTTAGCAAACACAGATTTTAGAATCTGTTACATCTTTTCTGTTGAGGATAGAGGAATATCCAACCTCTTGTGGGCTCGTAGTGCAAATTTCTGAATTTGGCAAACTCTGGTAATAACTTGATAAAAGACAGTCCAACACTGGTGGCTCACTCATTAGTTCTGTACTCATGAGAGAAGACCCTAGTTTCCTTAACTATGCTAGTTTTCAGCTGTAAACAGAAGCTGCTTCTTTCATCAATCTTCCCTTGGGCTTGAGAGGGGAAGAAGTATAGTTTTTTGAAGGCTGGCATATGATTTACTGTAAAATATGCTATTCTGTAAAACTGTGCAGTACTGATCTGAAGGGAGATTTGCTTTTCTAAAACTTGTCTTCCAGTGAAATCATCCCAAAGAGCAGTATACAGTCTTAAAATATCTGCAGTAGGAACTAAGAAACTGTAAAAATTATGGTTCAATAAATATTAGTAGTGAATAACTGGTGTTTTCAGACATGGTGTTTCTAAATACCTAGAGTCTCTGCACTATCCCAAACAGAGGACAATGCAGACACCCGTTCAATATAACAGGTTAATTACCCATCGTTGATATCTTCTCCTTTTAGATCCTAATTTAGCCTAGATTATTGTGTGAGTGATTATTAATATTTTACCATGGTTATGTTAGATTGATAATATACCATGAATACTTTTAACAGGCAATGAAATGCAATGAATAAGAAACTCTTCAAATGCTCACTGATTGTCTTTTTTTTTTAAAAAAAAAATGAATTAGGTCAACTTTGTGACAGAGGAAATCACTTAAATTTATTCTCTATAATTTTGTATAAATGTCCATGTAGTTAGTAGACACTACCAGGAAGGGTTCTGGGGCTAGAAGGCAGTTAGACAAGCAAAAATACATTAAGATAACTTCTTGGAGAGATTTTTTACTCTTCAATATCAATTGTAGTCATTATTAGTAGAATACCTATTGTTTATTTTTTTAGAAAGTAAAAGAAAATAACCTTTTAAAATGTTGATAAATATTATTTTATTAATAAAAATCATAATAAAATCAGACTAGGAAAAATATAATTATTTCAGTCAATAAAAAGATGAGATGTATCAATCAAATTTTGGAACAAAAGTATAATGTAATAATTTCTTCAAGCATTCCTTACAAAAAAAAGAAAAACAGAATTTCTTCAAAGCATACACATTCATGTTGCATACTATCCAAGACTGTAGCTTAGTGTCTCTCTTAGGTAATTCAAATGGATTGAATAAGCAGACAATTGCGCTAAAAAATAAGACTTTGATTTTATTCTTTCCATCTTTCCTTTGGTAAAGGAAAAGATGGAGGTAAAAGCTTTTTTTATTATTACCTGTATTTTCTGCTTACCAATAATGAAGAGTGACTGAGTAATTTTATGAATGCTCAGAATTTTTCAAAATGAACACAAACATCATCCTTTCTTTTCAATGTTAGTTTCATAGTGGAAACTGACTTTTCAGCTTTAGAAATCCTTTTCTGCATTGCTTTCCTTTCCAAGGAATTATAGAAGGAATTCATTATGAGAAGAGGGAAAAAAATAATGCAAGATTTTCTTAAATACCACATACTTATTTTAAAAGTCAACTGAAAGATTGTGATACACTAAACATAAAAAGAGCCTTGTAGTAACTAATTCTTAATGTATCTTGTATAGTCAGATTTTATGGTGTCATATTTAAAATCTGAACAATTATAGTACTAAATGCTATGACTTCTTTGTCTCTTAACCCAGTAAACTAAAGAAAAAGACTGTGATCATCAAGTATGCGCAGACTTTGAAGTTGATAAATATACATAAAGCATGTATATATATGCTTATACATATATATAAGTATAAATGGCAAAGCAAACAAGATTGAAAGGCAGTAAAATCAAGTTTTATTCTTTTGCCTCTTATTTATCATAAAGTGTTATTTGCTTATATTTAATATTAATATTTTCCATGCTTACTGTGGCAGGAGATTATTATGTATTTGCTGAGTAGGAGGAGAATATTAGCCAATCCCTTTATCAATCTGTTTTTTCCTCAGCTATCACCATTCCTCCTCTTTAGAAATATTTAAAGTTCTTTGACAGGRTGAAACACATTCATACAGTCTGTGTTCAAATTTTTATTTCTAAGGACTAGTCTACAAGGGTAAATTAACCAAACTAGGTATTCTGAAGTAATTATCCTGCTTGAATTTTCCTATAATAAATCTTGCAATTGAACATACAGGGTTTAGACTAAAAATACATATTAAAGAATAAACCCTATAAGCAATCAAGTCAGATGTGGTAATGAATTACTTTTTTATATGTGTTTGTGGTAACTAACTAAAGATACTTTTAGATACCTATGTAACTACAATTATAGCTAACTAAAATATTTTTTATATATTGCTTTAAAACATGATTTTATTTAATAGTAAATATAACTATATATAATACAATGGTAGCTAATTAAAATTTTTTTACTTAATACTTCTAATTTATCTCTGAACTCATAAAGAGATTATCTCAATAACTGTTTTCAGTTATTTGATGTAACAATAATTGTAAACTCTAAAGACAAAGGCTTTCTATGTTTTATAGGTCATTTTTCCTATGTCATTCATTCATATGTCATTCATATTGCTGGCATGCATTGAGGATAAAATATAGGCCTTTATTTACATTGTTATCTCATTTGATGCTAGTGATAAGTTAACTGCAAGAAAGCTTAAATATGGACTGTTTTCTGCCTTTTCTGGAGAAAAAAAAAAAAAAGCTTTCAATTTTGTTTTATACTCCTTTTATAAAGAGTTTTTATATTCCCTTTACAGTTCAACCCCAGGACATTTTCCAGTTGAGTTTATGAAAATTGCTGCATAGTATTATGACAGTAATTTTATATTGTACTTGTTAAGTCTGCCATTAAAATACATCAAGTAAATCACCCATCAGTTCTCAAAAGTTTTATTCTTAGACAGAAGTGGAACAGCCTATTATAACAAACCATTCTAGATGTATTCATTTTTTCTCTACAGCAAAGTGAAGGCCTTGAAATATGTATGATACTTGAGACAGAAGAATCATGGGAAATTAAAAGGTTATGTGATTGTTCTAAAGGTAGTGACTCAGTTATAAAAACTGCAGATAATACAGATGTTTGCATAAAACAGTATTTATAACCTCCTAATGTATCAAATTCTTACATTAATAGCAAATTTGAATAATGTAATGCCTTGAGTATCCATAATTGCCAGCGTATCTGTTTAAGGTCCTGTAAGCTCTCAAATACTGATAACTAAATTGGCATATAGTTAAGAATCACATTTTTCCGATTCAAATAATTTTTAAAAGGTGTTTGGCTTGTGCCTCAATCAGAACATCTTAAAGCATTTCAAACTTTAGCATGAACAGCGGCTTCTTGTGCATTTTGTAAATTGTATATTCAGAATTAAGTGTTGCTTTCCAGGGCTTTGAAGTGCTAAAAAAACTGAAGAGCAGCTGGGGAACAGTTTTCCTGAGAACATTTTTTTTGTGAATT